CGGCTTGTTTTACAACGTCGTTGCCAAGCGACGAAAACCCAACCCCGATGGCAAAACACCGGGAGGGGATGGTAAACACCGGGGGGGAGACTTTCGCAAGGGGGAGGGGGGGTGTACTCATAGTCGCAAGGGGGGGGGGCTACTATACACTGGGCAACGTACAAACCCTATTCGAACATCGAAGTGCGACATTATGGCCTATTCCAGCCGGTCGCCCGATTGGTCTAGTGAGAAACCTCCCATACCTACTGTAGGTCATGGGTCCAATTCTCTTTCTGCAGGTTTTTCGCTTTTTCCCTGCATGTTCAAGGTGAAAAATAAATATTTATTGTGAGTATGTACAATTCAATGGTCGACGAGAGAAACGGGTGGCTAAAACCTTCTCGCGATAAAAACCAAGGCAAGAGTACCGCAGGATACAAGGTGGTGCAACAAACAAATCAAACTATAAGGAAAGCTCTTGTGTGACCTTCCTCCTCCTGCGCGACCTGGCTGAAACGTCAGAGATGTGCACCGTAAGGTGAGCATAGCTGGCACCAAAAATAGATGGGGGCGAACAAACACACACTTACATCCCATGTATCCGTGGGCACAGAAGAGGTCCGCCCCCGTTTCTCCGCCGTTGCAAGCGCCCGCATTGAAGCACGGTAGAATTTTGTCGCTTTGGTTCGTTGCACGCCAGTAGCCTGGTGAGGTGCTAAGCATTTCAAAGGTGACCCCAGATACGTCGGCTGCAGTGTGCTCCAAAGGCCTCGAACATGTCGGCAGAACGTCAGAGGGTTCGGTGGTGCAGTTGTGGCACTCCTCCTAATCAGGACAATCAAGACACGCCGCCTCATAGCGCGAAAGACTTGTTCCCTCGTCCTGTGATTGAAAGGCATCCCAAACCAACAATATAAACGAGGGTATGTCAGTCGTTGTTGTGCTGCCTACTTTTTGACGTACACCGACTCAACTTTGATCGGAGGGAGCTTCCAACACCGTGGCTTTCAAAGATGGGAAAGCGACACAACAGGGTATACCCTGGTCGAAAAGCGACAGACCTGGGTACATAGTGTATACAGCGACGTGAAATGAACCCATATGATTGGTCAAAACCCACTTTCACCCCGCCGCGTCGCAAAAAGCGCAGGGTTTACCCTGCCGTGGCTACTTTTCTCCAAAACTGTACCCTGTTTTCGGAAATGTACCCTGGACTGACGGGAAATGAGACCCTTCCATCAACCATTTCCTCGGCAAGAATCTTCCCAAATCCTTTTGCCCCCCAACCATGGGATACCATACGGCGAGTCTTCCCGCCCGAAAGCAACCATGAAAACGGAGCAGGAATCAGTTTCCGCCCCTGCGAAACAACACCAACCTCAACTCTTCCCGCTCTCAGTCAACCATGGCTGGCGAACACAACGCCGTTCGGAAAGCAGTCGACACCATTCTCTACTCTATATGCTGTGCATATATATAACACTGGTCGCCCCGGTGGTCTAGTGGGTAGCCTCGCAGCCTGCCAAGGGCCAGGTCATGGGTTCGAGTCCCGGCAGAGAGTGAGTTTTTTCTCACTAAATAATTCCTGGTCTAGTCTAGGATGAAAGCGACGCGCTGCAAAGCTCGTTTGTTAGTAAACCATAATAATCGACTTCGTAAGTCGCGAGGGAAGGGATTGCTGTACCCTTCTCGCGATAAAAATACCTCACGCATGAACCGCAGGAGGGGGTCCAGCCCCCCCCTCCTATGTGACCCGGGTTGGGTCGTCTAGCTAGAAGAAGGGGAGGATAGGGGCCAGAGGGGCAGACGACAGAGTCCAATGATGGGAGTAAAAAATATATATATTTATATATATATATATGCACATGGACAATACCCCGAGGACTACTGCTTGCTGTACTCTATTATAGTCTATATGCGAGATTACGGGTCACGCCAAGAACGCCAGACCGATCCAGCATGGTTGAGTTGCACGCATGTGCAAACGGGTGGTGTTGTCGTGGCCGCGAGCTCGCCGCCGCAGAGAGAGGAGGGAGGGCAGGAAGGGTACTGCTGTAGTAGCACGCGCACAAATTGAGCAGCAGCAGGACACTGCCGTATCGTCCAGCTCCTGCACCTCCCTGTCGGTAGAGAGAGTGTTCGCGTTTGTATTCTTTGTATTTCATCCCGCTGAGAAGCCAGACATCTTCGTACACACCCCACTTACAACAAATAGTCAAAATAGTTGGCTGGTAGGCGAGACACACACATCACACCTGAGACACAAACAAAACGCATGCAAACACGCCACAGGCCGGACGGGAGTGAGTGAGTGGCGGCGAAGGAGCTTTGGTCCAAGGAGCGGCGCCCGAAGTTAGCCTTGTACCGCTGTCCTCATCCCACACCAAGAACACACTCACGTCCGCACCATCACCCAATAGTCTAATGGACTAGTCTAAGAACTTTTTTGGACCAACTTTATTGCTGCTGCTGTACAAGTACAAATACTAGAAGACTACATACAGCAGTGGTGCAGTGGGTAATGGGCACCACAGGTGAGATGGTGTGTAGATTACGCAAGATACTCAGGGTGCAGTAGACAAGCCTCAGCTCCACCAAACCACCATGATAATCCTGTATGCTTGAAATGTTGTTGCGTGTGTTGAACCCTAGCAGTAACACACGACCATGCAGCGGTAGTGTAGTCGGTAGGTGCTTCCTTAGAGAGAGAGGTTAACGTAAATAGCCAACAAAGGACAACGTAGATCCCGTCCCATCCCTCTTTCTTATGCACACCAGACTACTACTGCCGCCGTACATTGAGCAGTGTACGTCCGCAAATTATATACGCGAATTTTTGCATACGAGGACGGGGGTGATGCAGTATTCTGTGTGCACGCAAGCACCGAAAGGCAGTCAACAAAGGACGTACCCGTTCGTGTAGCTTGTCGATGACATACAACAAGTCATGCAGTTTCGACGTCTTCGAATGCAAGGGACGCCAATAAACGCATGGCATTCAAGCAAGAGACCCAACTTGTTTTCGCTATGTGAGGGCGCGAGCAAACACTTTTTTTTGCGTGCTTTGTTTCTAGACGGCGCACTGCAACAGCCCCCACCATCGATAAGTAACAATGAAGGCAATGGACACCACTTTATTCGGTTACAGGGAGGGATTTCATGAAGTTTTTCGGGGTGAATGCTCGGGTGGGAATCGTTCGGTGGGGGGTGAAGGGCACACGCTCTTGCTTGTCGCGGTTATCGTCACAAGCGCTCCATACACGCAGCAGTCTACGGAACAATCATGCAGTGGTTCACGCCGACCGTCCTTGACAACTGGTTCCCCTTGGAGCTCGACGGCTCTGCCCATTCTTGACGTCAACTCCACCTATCCCTCCCAATTATGTGCGAGGTTGTCAAATGTCGCTTTTGGTGACGGTCAAGCGAAAAATATACGCAACAAAAAGCGCACCGTCCGTCGCGGGTGCTCTACGCAAAGCTGCAGACACATGCATGCGACGTCTTGCACCCTATCATACACGCGGACCACAGCCTCGCACGTCACTCCGACAACGTGTCCCGCCCGTGGCGGGTGCTCTACGCAAAGCTGTAAACACATGCGACTTGAAGCACCTTGCTGCCATAGACACGAACAACAGCCTCGAGTGTCACTCCGACACCGTGCGACGAAGAAATCCAAAAGGATGAGCAAAACAGCTTGCTTGAACTACGACATGTCGATAGAGCCTTGGGGTTGGCTCAGCACGGCACTTGACCCGGCCCCCGCTGCATTATCGCGGCGGGGAGCGTCTTGCGAGCTGTAACGCTCAACAGCAAGCCCCCCACACACCCTAGAGGGGGGTCGCTCGCCCGCGGAACCTCCGATGTTGAGGTCTCCCACGTGGCTGCGAACACTGCCCATGCCATGTACCGGGAGCGGCTGGGCGTTGCCGCCCCCGCCACGCTCAGCGCTGCCCCCGCCGCCACGCACACCTGCGTCTCGGGCTACCGGGCCGCCTCCACGCTGGCAGTTGTCGTTGAGACCAGGGAATCGCGCACGCTGCCGGGCGCCCTTCTTGGGAGCACCAGCTTGCCCGGTCACCTGGCGCGGGGGAAGGAGGTCGCCCTTCGAAAGCTCTGACCAGATGGGGAGTACGACGGGATAGTCGGGGTTGCTGTGGATCCCCCTGAAGGAAGCCAGGGTGTACCCGCTGTCAATAAGCGCCCTCGTGCAGTCGAGCCTGTCGATTGCTGTCACGGGATCGGGACGAGGGCGAAGAGTCGTAAAAAATGGTCAGTCAAATGCGTCAAGTACAACAATGTGGAATCAGCGAAACAAAAGACGGCCTGGAACCTCAGGTTTAACCCAGCTGATCTTCGACGCACCAAACCCCGAAGGAGTAGAGATTTGCTCAAAAGAAGCGGTGGGCACAACAAAAGTGATTGAACCTGCAACACGAGGACGAGTCAAAACGAACTGCGATCAAAGCAGGAAACGTTCGCTGGGTTGGGTGAAGGGCAGGGTTGTTTTCAGGCCCCTGCTTTCATGCCTGTTCGTTTTTGTTGTGAAACTCTTACCCTCAAGGTGAGCCCTTAATTAACATCGGAGGTGGCAAAGTGTGTTCGGCAAAGCATCACGTAATCCCGCACTTCTAGCAAAAGGACCCTAAACAAATATCAACCATTACAAAAAGATCTGGCTACGTTCATGGCGGTCCATCGAGAGGGGGTGGTGGTGCTAGCTCCCTCCGGGTGTGCCAACTCACACGTGGCGATGAAATACAAAGATGACACACGAAGATGATACAAAGCTTCGGGCACAAGTACAGCATGCACAGCCAGAGGGGATCCCACTTCGTTCTACGAGAACCCCGTTCATAGTCAACATAGATCCCGGACCTTATGTAGGCAAAAGAAGAAACAACTTCGAGCTCTGACCAGAGGGAACACCAGGGATGAGATTCGAGGATGACAAACCGATGTACAAAACCGAACTACATTACATGAAGTCGCACATTGCACGTGACCTGCTGCAATAAAACACAAAGAAAACAAAGACGGAACACACACGGACAGCGGAGGACACCTAACCGAAGCATGTTTGCAACCAATTCCGATCCATGTTTTCAACCCAATGGACGCTTACATTTTAACACAGCGAGGGCGTCCTGGCACAGCAGGTGGAACCTGGAAGGAACTCTGCAGGTGCACTCGACGCGGCCACCCTTCCCTTCCGTGTCCGGCAGCACGATCGTAACCCTGTTGGCGTACTGGCTCTTGCCGTGCTCCTGGACGAGGAAGTTGCCCAAGCCCAGGGGCTTGACGTGCTTGCTGCCGACGAGTGGGGCAAACGCCGTCAAGAACCGAAGAAGGAAGGGAACAAAGCGGACGAAAACTGAGTTTGTGTCGTCGATGAAAGACAGGTGTCATCCTCTGGTTGTACAGTGTGCACCATACACAAAACGACAGCCAAAACCGAATAAACTAGATGAACAATGAAGTCAAGAAGACAAGGGCAACAAGAGAAAAAAAGCACGGGTGGATCACATGTATTTTGCAAAAATAACAGGAGGGAATCGTATTGTACACCCAACCACGCCCGCAGAATGAAGGCAGGCGTGGTTCCCAATACTTACTTAAGACTGAGCAGCCTCTCGTTCTCCATGAACTTGGCTGCGAATGGAACGAGTAGATCAGGGCTGTTCTTCTTCAGTTCGGCACTCGTCGCGAGTTTCTCCGCAGTCATCTCCGCAATCCTCATGTTGAGATGATAGGGGTCCATTTGCCGTACCTGCGAGCAACAAACGTGAACAATGGAAGAGAGACACGTCGAAGGTTCAGACACCAATCGCTTAAAAGAAAAAGAAAAAAAAACAGCTGTCGCAGACACCGGTACCGAGGGAAGCGAGTGACAACACTCTGACAAGTTGCCGTTGAAGAATGAGGACGGCTGCATTGCGGGCATTAGAAATGGGTGAGAGTACGTGTGTGTGTCTTCACGTGTAGCATCGACCCCGCAGTCTTTACAAAGGCCTTCATCTGAGACCCGATAAACGGGCGACATGGGAGAGGCTGGAACATTCTCCGGATGGGATTGAAGACAGAACTGACAGTAGAAGAGATGAACTCATCTCCCAAGGCATGTATAGCAGTGAAGGATGGTACCGAGCAACTTCGTGAAGGATTTTTTTTCATGTTGGATCGACCCACTGCAAAGGGTAGCACCCACTGCGTACCACTAGCCACCAACATGTACGACACATGATTACATGAAGGGCCTTATATGAATTTATGTACCTGTGAACACCATACGTGAAAACGGGTGTCAAAATGAAGAAATAACTCACAGGAGCATCACGCATCTATGAACAATAGCGATAGGAATAGCAAGAGTGAACCAAACTCGAAATTCGTGGTGGCTGTCAGGGTCTCCACATAACGCTGGCGGGGTGAGCAGCCCACGCAGGAATCGATATCTGCCACTTGACGCTGAGCGAGAGTGATAGATAAAGGCTTACCCATTTGACTACTCAGTCAGCCGCTGACTGAGTAGTCTAATGCATAAGCCTTTACTATCAAAAGATACACTCTCGGCTCGTAGAATCCCGGGTTGTGAGTAGAGATCTCCGGGGACGGACCCCTCGCCAGGCGCTGCCGAGAACAGAACTATGGTGCTTTTCGTAAAGTGATCAGCCCGGGATTTGAACCTGTGCGTGTATCCTTCGATTGGTAAAGGCTTACCCATTAGACTACTCAGCCAGCGCTGACTGAGTAGTCTAATGGGTAAGCCTTTACTATCAGAGAGGACCACCTCACGCACCATCTACCATCTTTGAAAACATCATAAAAAGGGTACAGTGCGTCAATTCGGACCTTGCCGACCTTCTGAACAAAACACCTTTTCATTCACCAACCTCTTGGCCAACCGCTGCAAGGTTGGACTCCGCGGAGTTGGAGGTGGACATTTTGAGGGTGACGTTCTTGCTCGGGGTGGCATGGTGTGTCCATTCCTCGAGGGGTTGGTTCATGAAGTAGGCGTAGTTCATCGGGAAGTCCTTGACTGGCTCCATGGCCTCATCGAACAGGTGACTGGCTCCATGGCCTCATCGAACAGGACCTGTTCGATGAGGCCATGGAGCCAGTCAAGAAGGACTTCCCGATGAACTACGCCTACTTCATGAACCAACCCCTCGAGGAATGGACACACCATGCCACCCCGAGCAAGAACGTCACCCTCAAAATGTCCACCTCCAACTCCGCGGAGTCCAACCTTGCAGCGGTTGGCCAAGAGGTTGGTGAATGAAAAGGTGTTTTGTTCAGAAGGTCGGCAAGGTCCGAATTGACGCACTGTACCCTTNCGAGAGGTGCGTCGACTGGCGCCAGAATAGATGGGACGGGCACAAAACGCATGCGGCGGAAAGAAGGTGTTCGCGAAACATTTGTTTGAGAGGAGGTCAATCACTCACGGCGACAACATCCATACTTCCATGCCCTGGTGTGAACAACATGGGGTGGTGACACGTTCGCA